CATGAAGCAAAGCAAACATTTTAAGTGGATTTGGAGACGAAACAATTTAGACAGATGAACACAGCCCGGGGGAAACACACTGCGAGGCACATAATATATTTCATTAAGGATTTTGATCGTGTAAATTGTAAGGAATGGGCGATGTTCGACACACATTGTTTTACAGTTTTATTATTGTTCATTTGTATTCTGGAGAATCTCACTGTGGGATTTACCGTAAGTCAGAGTGACATTCACATTTAACAGCTGAAGAGAACATTTAAGACAAAAGTCAACTTGGTAAATATGTTTTACATATTTATTCTTGTTTAGCATGGACTTGTAACTGTGAAGTTTAAATTTGATTACTGTATTACATTTAATTTAAAATGATATTCATAAAACAATTTGTGGCGAGCAAAAATATATGACACCTTATCTCCTCCGTTCAACATGATCGATTATATGGAGGAGAGAGAAAATTTACTGGTACCTGTAGTTATTTTTTGTCATTTGGAATATTGATGGTCATAGTAGGAATTTAAATCCTGAAGAATGGAATTAAATTTTTATATATGTTATAAAGATTTATAAATGTAATATGAAATTGCTAATTTAACTGAATTTGGACATTCCTGTACATGAAAAAATGTAAAATATGACTGAAATTTGATTTTTTTGTGTTTCACACAAAAAATAAATGCAAATGGATTTTTTGTGTTTGATTTTGCAATAGGTCTGCGAAGAAACATAGTAGGCGCCGAAAACATTAGCCTATCCTACACTGCTAGGCTAGGTCTAGCCTTACCTTGATTTAGGTTCTGTTATCACACATAAAAATGGCCGACATGATATTTTCCGTTGCTAGTATTGACACTTGTGAAATATAATATATCATAGGAATTATTTCAAATCTGTTAAAAAAATGATTCTGACCGAGATTTTGACAATTAAACAAACTCAGGCCGACTCGATCGATCGCAGTGTGTGAGATGCAAAGTACTAAAATACAATTTCATTAGAGAGGGCACACTTTATTGACTGAAAAATTATACATAAAAGCGAGAGCATTTCCAGCAGATGCGATCTACAACCTCTGAATTTGCCTAGTAACAAAGAATTCGTCGAGAAAATGGTAATCTTCTATGCGAAATAGTCTGTATTTCTTATTTTTTTAAATTCTTTTGCGTAAAACTAAAATTTATGCCGATATTTTTCCATTGTTTATAATAAATAGCGTAATGCATGCATTTTTTCTAAAAAAAAATCTTTTTTAGTGAAATTTTGCCAGGAATGGGGCTTTAAGTATACAGTAGATCTACATTATATTGTAATGTGGAACCATACATAGTTAATGGTCATAATGTTTGTGAAAATTGGTTATTTTCAAAGATAGATTGTAGTAACCATTAGGATACAGTATAATGCCTTTATCATATTTTATTTTACTAAGTGCCTCATTTTATAAAGTATTTATGTTGCTTTTTTGAAATACACCATAAGAGCATATGCTGCTGTTTCAAAAGCGTCGTTTCGAGTAAGTTAATAATAACGGTTATTATAAAAATGAATGGTAATATTTCATTCCATTGATTTTTCCACCAATAAATTATGTTTTTGAATGGTAATATTTCATTCCATTGATTTTTCCACCAATAAATTATGTTTTTATATCAATTTGTTTTGATCTTTGTGATGAGTTGTTACAACATATAAACAAGCCAATTTGTTTTGATTTTTATCCTTGAACATGTAAACTAATGCCGTAGGAACGCCCCAGGGTGATTATTATTGTAAAAGGTTTTTGAGGGGGGCGTTTTATTGAGAGAGGAGTTTGTTAGAGGGAAGCATTTTTCTTTTTTGTGTAAATTGGATATGTACAGTACAGTATACTCAAATAAACTCCCCTCAATTTCACTGTAAATATGGACCTACGACACATTAATTAAAATCAAAATGTTTTATTGCATGATCATAAAGAATTATTGATCCCAACCAGGGTAGGAAAAATGTATGTCTGATTCAACTGTCCAGATTACAACATTAAAATATGTTAAGAATGATGTTGATTCCGTTAGTTTTGTTGACAGTCATTTAGAGAGGTGTTTATTCAAGAAAAAAATAAATGGCCTGTTGTTTATTTAATGGAGGTGTTTATTTCAAATGAGGCTCTGGAGGGGGCGTTTATTGAATCAATAAGATAATAATATAATTTTTTCCAGGTTGATTAACTAAGTAGTTAGGTTTCTATATTCTTTTGTTTTTGACCGTATTGGTTAATAATCGGAAGATAAAAAAAAAATAATTTGTCTCACTTGCAACATTTTTCTCCAATTTGTATATATGGGCTTTTATATGTTTTAATGTTTTTCTTGTTCTTGAATCTTTTATGACTGTATTTTATCTATATGCTGGTTTATTGTAACCAAATAAATTGAAATCAGATCATGATTATTTTTTTAATATAAGTAATTTTTCAAAAATTTGATAGGTTTGTGATATTACAAATCAGCTAAAATGATCATTTTAGACATTTCTTCTTCATATCTGCATCAGAGACTGAATGTCTGTCCAGCTTGGTTGACATTTAGGGGCCCTCTAATGTAGTAAGAGGATCAAGTATTAGCATCAATCCAAAGTTTGTTATACAATAAGGCAATCTGTAACAGATTTATCATTTTTCAAGCTTTTTCTGAAGGTGATATTTATTATGCATTAATATTTTTGTACATGATTTACTAACTTCAATTTAATATTTAAGTGGAGAACACTAACGGTATTAATGGAAAATCTGAAAGCAATTGTTTATTTATTATAAATCAGCAAAGAGTTACACTTTTGTTATTCTGGTTTATATTGTATTCAAGGACATAGAGCTGCCACAAGTGGGGGTGCCAATGGGTCAAAAGCCGCAGACATTTTTATAACTGTAGATATCAGGGGAGAGATTTTGCGAGCACAACCCCTGACATGTCTGAGGGAGCATGGTGTTTAATATACCAATATTGGAGGACTGCATCGTGTGTTTCATTATGTTTTATATAGCTGTGTTTTGGATGTTCTGCTCGTTTAATAATTCGGGGATGTGAATTTTTGCCATGTTTCAATTGTATTCAAATTTTTAGAGGCTCAAACCAAAAATTGGGGATGGGACAGCATCTCCAGCTCTCTGCCTCCTACACTTATGTATGTAATACTGTACCTTTTACATGCTAATCTAGGAAATGTACAAAAGATTTTTTTACAGTTTTTGTGTACTTTTTATCTACAGCTATAAATATACTTGTGAACATTCCCTTAACTTCCTTCTGCAAATCTATGATGCTACTGTACATCAGCAACATATACTCTAGTTGAGATTTTATTTTGATCTCAAGGAATGTGTTAAAATATTCAGATATCCTCTGAAAAACTTGTAATTGACCGAATTATAAATCTACATTTCATCTTTTAAACATGAAATTTCATCATTGACTTAAATTGGGAGTACCTTTCCAGCATTTGTGCATTCTTGGATTCTTTACATTCCGCTGTAATGCTATGTATTTTTGGAAATAGCATGCTTGATACATGCCAGAGAAAGATGTGCACAATTGTGTACATTGGGCCTACGGTTTATAGTCCTTATCTGAGAAGACTTGTTCTCCTCCAGAAGCATAGGCGAGTGTGCCATTCGAACCAGTGCCGATATTAAAGCTGTAGGTTGCGGTGCCCCTGCCTAATAACCGCTCGACTATTCAACTTGCCTAAGACACTAAAAGATGTCTGAAAAAAATGTCTTCAAAATTAAAAAATCAGTTGTTAAGACATAAAAAAACCTTCTGGAACCAGGTTTTACTGTAGATAGATGTATTTATGAAATATTTGTTAATTGATTAATATCTACATGTTTATAATATATACATTTGATAAGTGTTTTTGTATGAAAATAAAAAATAATAGTTTGCGCAGTTAATAAACATGCAATAATATTATTGTATTGGCTATTTGTAATCAAAGTCTTGAAATAGAAATTTTATTCAGCCTTGTCATTTTTTTTTTTTTTTTTTTTGGTTCTTCATATACTACAGAAATATTTTCAAATTATACTATTGGATGGTAATCTTAAAAAGCAAATGATAATTACTCATACCATATATACCCAGATTTGCACTTAGATTTTCAGACCAGTCATTACTAATTTAACCAAGATCTAGACACACATGGGAAGATAAGTCATTTGCAGTTGCCACGCCAAAATGATTAAATCAGCTTCCTTGGTCTGCAAACAGCATCACTTTATTGAAACAAGCACTGAAAACTCATCTGATGGTTCTTTCAAGTAGTGTCCCCATTTTATTAATTTTTTTCACTCAGTCTTACAGTGCGTTGGAATTGGCTAGGCAGTCAGACACCAGCACCACTAGAGCTTTTGTGAGTTATGAACCAGCGAACCCTCATTGAGGGCTTCAAAGTGCTGGTAAACAAAGTGGTGATGCTAGTTTCTTCTGTTTATTCTTTCCCGGTTAGTTAAGGACATTAGTTTCCATTTTTTCAAGTTTCGTTTTCATGCTCCGTCTCAAGCACCTTGAGCACTTTCCAAAGAGGGTATGTGTTCGCTTTATAAATTTTATTCATATTATTATAGGCGCCACAAGCTATAGACAAAATATCGGCGCTGGTTCGAAAAGGCACCCTCGCCTATGGTTCTGGTGGTAGAACAAGTCTTCTCAGATAAGAACTATAAATTGTAGGCACAGTGTATACAATGGCTCGTGTGCACTAAAGAACTCACTACATCCTTTGAGAAGAGTAGGGGGATAACCCCAGTGTACTGGGACAGACTGCCCCTGTGGTGGACGACGAAAGTTGCTGGTACTGTGTTACCGGGTAGCATAGACACGAAGGGACCCATAGGAGCAATGAAAGTTGTTGATTGAGTTCCTAGTCCACACATCAAGCGCCCTGAGCATCTTACATTAGATGGATATGTGCGGTATATAAAACTACACTATTATTATTATTATTGTTATGTCTTGCAGGTAAGAGGTGGAACTACAATGCAGCGTTAGCAGACTCCAATAAGTTGAAGCAAATTTTAAAGCCACCATCACCTCTAAAATCAAGAGAGATTCCAACACCGCCCAAGTCAGACTCCAATGCCAATCCCAATGGAACTACAGAGGATGGAAGGTCAGCTCTCAATGTTCCCATTCAGGTCAAGAATGGGAATGGAAACAAGTCCCCAAATAGTATGTTTTCATCAGTATTAAATTTTTTTTTAATTTATTTTTTTTAGGCCCAAACAAAAATTAGTTTCTGCTCATTTATAGACTATGAAAATCTTTACGATTACTAGCCAATATCTAGAGTTCTAGGGCTCGTTTCATACTTACGATTTAGGCGATAAAGATTACCGCTAATCCAATTAAATATGTACCCCGAACGGGGATTTTTTGAAAAGACCTCCAAAAATCATGCCAGACCTAGCAAAAAAACAGCACATACAGGTATCCATCCAACAATAGGCAGTTTTCGCCGCACGACGTTAACATTAACTTTAACGTTAGTACCCATCATGCAGCGCGATAGCTCCTCCCTTTTTGTAAACAAAACGAAATACGCATGCACAAACCCATAACTAATGTACGTCGAGTACTCTGCAACGCAAGATGAATAAATTATGACGTCATACGGCGAAAACTGCCTAATAATTATTCTTCAGCATGTCAAATCTGTGTAATAATTACGCAATAACTTGGACAAGAATGAAAATCTGTGCCTGAAACACGCCTAGGATTATCGCTAAAAAAAATCATGTATGAACACAGCCTATGTTAAAAGAATATAAAGCTCTGTCCACCATATCAGATTTTCTTTGATAAAAAACTGTTGTATGCCCTTATATGGTCATGATGTTGCTCTAAATTATTATATTATATGAAAGAATTGAAATTTTTGTTAACCCTTTTTTCGGATAAAGTTGCATAAAATCAAAATGAGCATACAACACATTATCTAATAGATATTACTATTATTAAAGCTAAGAGTACTTGACATTTTAAATAAAACATCAGCTGTCTCTAATTCAGACCTCACGGCAAAATTTCCTCCTTGTTTCAGCACAAAAGAAATTAACGAGAGGTTTGTCACAGGCTAATGTCGTGATAGTACAAAAAACACGGAAACAGCTGGAATCTGAGGAGCAGATTCCAGACACACCATTTATCTTGCCGGATATCACTGCCTACAAGGATGATTTTAGAAATTTTCTTGAAAAAGACCTGATTGAAACAACCAGCATGTATAATTTGGAGAATGCAAGTAAGTGGTTTTAATGGTATTATATTACACATTATACATATAATGAAAAAAGAAATGTCATCTCATTTGCAACATCCTATTAAACATTATTAATGGAAAGGAAGTGGAGAGTGTTGATACTTAAATATACCTGGGATGGCTGGGGTGGTGACAATAAACATTGTGGAAGGATCATATTGATCATATAGTCAACACGTTCGTACGGTCCTTAGAAAGTACTTGTAAGTCCTTGAATATTGACGTTCGTACTTGAAAACCGATTTTCCAATTTTACATTTTTAGAATTGACTTTGTATTAACAATGTATAAAATTGATTCTATTACATTACGTGTATTTTTGGTCTGATATATTTTTTTAAACAGAACACTTCCTTCGTTGTCACGACGCCACTTGCTAGTCGAATGTTGGAAACAACATGATGCGTCTCCTAAACTCTGTCCGCTAATTGTTTAGTTTTTCTTGGGTCGTGTGCAAAAATGTGATGCCCAAAGTTGGATAGTGTGACAGAAACGAGCTCAGTGTAATCGATAAAAGTTTTTAAACAGATAAATTAAAACAAATAAGTCTAAATAAATAAATCTAACAAATTAAAATTTTATTCTCTACATAATATTTTCTCCGTAATTAAATTAACGTGTTTTGAGAAGCGTCTTAAGTTTAGAAAATAGTAAGGCTATGAATTTGTGATTTACACTGATAAATCTACTGTAATGGTGTCCAAATCCAAATATCTACTAAAACTTGCTTGCAGGTTGATTCCAATCAATTTTTAAGGACTAGGGCAAGAATACACTTTATTAAAACAATGGAAGGCGTAACTTTTATTTGAGAGCGGAGTTCCACCACCAACGGCTTGCCAGTGTTTTTAAGGCTGTTCTGGGGGACAACATCTACACACTATAGATAATAAAATATTAATATATAATATAAGGCATGTTGAGTAAAGTTATGGTGATTCTAATAAAAATCCTAAAATTTATCACTTAGAAGGCAGCACATTTAATATAAATGCAGTTTGGTTTGTGATGTATATTATGAAATAATCATAGTGCCCTCTGTAGGTCAACCTAGTTTCTATGACTTCAAATTCATTGACCTGGCTTAGATACAAATTACTAGGGTACCCAGAAACACCTGTTCAGGTGAGAACTGTCAATTAGAGCAAATTAGGAACTTATAGTATTAATTGATACGTGTTAATCCAGAGAGATACTGGAGCATTGAGCCAGTAGATTCATATTTGCTGATTTGCAGTTCATTGTGGTCATTAGTGTTTTAGAGCACTTAAGGTTAGTTTCATCCTTTCTTCTCATTTCCTCTTCTTGTTCACAACCAGTTTTCTCTCATCAACCAGTAGTTCTACCACAACCAATCCTCTTCCTTTAGTGTTAAGAAAACACTGACATGCCAGCACTCTTGGCATCCATAGTAGTTCCAAGGCAAAACAATGCAACTTAACAAAAAAGAAATAGGAGTTGTTTTACCGTGAAACGGCCTATCATTCCTCAGGCTATTGTACCAATTGAATTGAAAATTGAATTGAATTGAAATCATTGGTATTATGCGATTCATACACTAACTGAAAATTGAATGAAAATATTATGGTAGTAAAGAAATTGTTAGCTTTAAGCGCCCTGAATATCTCTGTTGATGACAATTAGCGAAAGCTATAAAAGAGCTAAAACAAGACTCTGAAGGTTAACAATATTTATACTATCAAGCAAACAATAAAGACACTATTTGGGCCTACTTCCTTTCACACATAGCTAAATTGTTACCACAATATTGCAGGAATATTCCCAAAAATGCCTTCTACGCAGCGTTCCATCTCACACTTACTAATGTTACTGCAATATTCCGTTATGGTGCATTCTCGAGTGTTTCTGAAATGAAAGCAGGTCGTATTTCCGCAATATTACTCCTTATTTACAGTAACATCTCCTAATTACATACCGCTCCGTCCGAAAAGAGTTCGTAATTGAGAAAATTTGTAATTCAGAGAGTTCGAATTTTTATAGCATCTCAGTGCGGTGAGGGTAGGCCTAGGCCTTTGCTACAAAGTACAGATGTGAAGGTAGATTCACACCGAATCCGAATTCGGTTCGTGGAACGTTTTCAAGCGCGTCTTAGTACACGCCTCTATTCTTTACTACTGATTTGATTAGGACTTTCAATAATGTAAATGAGCAGTAGGATTTTATTTTTTTTATATGATATTGCCAATATGAACAAAAATAAATTTGTTTAGATAACTAAACAAATTTATATTTGTATATTTATATCATAAAAAAAATATGATATAAATGAAACCAACAAGAAAACATGTAAAAACCATGAAATTTTAAAGCATTAAGTGCCTTTGTTTTGAATCCAAGGTGGAGACAATTATATTCTTTAAAAAAAAAAGTGAACTTTTGTTGACATCAATTAAAAAAGAGACCAACAATTATATAAATAGCAGCGATTGATTCAGTTGGTTGCTTTTTGAAGGTCAGCTTGTTTATCCAACTCTCATGCTGCATATTATATATACAATCTCCCTTATTGATTTTCGTTTTGTTCACTATTTAAGCTTATAATGCAATATGGCTAATTATAATCCAAAAGCATAAATAATATTTAAATGATTGACAATCACATATAAAGTAGTTATAAAACCAGGTCAAACCTCTGTATGTTATTAATATACAGTACATACTAGTTACTTTACAATTTTAGCATCAGCATCATTTTTATGTACAGAGAGGCCTAGACAAAATAAACTTTGATTTGTCATAAAGTGCATTGAATTAATTGATTTTCTACATATTTAAAGTGCTTATTAAATATGAAATTGAGTCATGCATATTTTAAAAATTTCTACCTGAGTTGATTTAAAATAATAATAATAGTTAATGGTAATATATTTTATAGCGCAAAATACAAGTGTCTATGCGCTTGATTATAGACTGAAATGGTAAACAATAAACTAAATAACCTATAGATTCCTGAATCGGAACAATTGAGTTATGAAATTGCTAAAAAGAGAGAGTTGTTGGTGGATTTGACATTGAGTGCCAACTCAATGCCAACACATGGTGGAACGTGAATAATGATGATACATCAATACAACCGCGTATTGGATAATAGCACAATGCTGTCCTTCTAAAGCTAAAATGTTTTTTTAAACAAAACTAATGTCAATAGTGTTTGAGCAGTGTGTGTTAGTTTTCAGACAGCATTTTTAATTAGTACAGCAAAATCTGGGAAATGACTCCCCAAAAATATATAGGCGCAGAATATATTAAATATAGGGCAGCTGACTCTAAAATTTATAGTAAAATTTTGCCTTAAAGTTGCCCCTGACCAAAATATGTATTTTTACCTATTGTAAATGTGCATCGGTCAAATAAATAAATTAAATAAATGATGAAATACGAGTCATGAAGGGTTGAAAGCACACTTTTTACAAGTGATGTAGAGAAAAATTTAGTGACGGCATAGCACATTTTAGACAATTTATTTGGCACTATACTATACTTTTATTGAACTAATTTTAAAGTCTAAATTACTAGGCCTATATTTGTACATTTCTATTGCTGCCTGGACTTGGGATTTCAGATATATATTGGCTGTCAACTTTCATTAATTTCGCTTTTATTAATATCTGATATTTGAAAGTTCAAATAAGTTCTGTATGTTACTTGTAGTACAATGATAACAGGCTGAAACAACCTCAATTTCCTGCATGTGTGTAGCAAAAATAATTTTTTTTAACAGTGCTTATAAGAATGCGGTTTGAGTACAGTATCTATATTTTTCTCTTTTATTTGTAGTAGTTATGTTCAACATTACCATGTAGAGGTAGAGTATGCACAACACTGCCTGATGCTTGAGCCTGTAGCAAACATGAAATCATTTATTGTGTTTGTGTCCTATTGTTGAGGTGTTAGGCCAGGTTTTGACGAACTGGTCCTTTTATAAGTTGTCGGTAACTGATAAAATATTGACAGTACCTGAATAGACACTGGAAGATCAATACAGTCTCTGTACAGCTATCAAAGCTGCTGACTACCTCTCTAGTGGATTGTATATATACACTCCCTATGTTCATGTTGTACATTGGATCTGGTGTGGTAACTTGGTAGACTTAGAGATTTTGTTTCAGGATGCTGCTGCGATTTTGTATACCACTTGTGGTTATAGTCTAGAGAAAGAGTGAGTTATGATCTTATATAGTTTTGCTAATATTTGGTACATTGAATATTATTAATTTTTCTCTTGAATTGGTTAGATTACACTAGTTGAGTAAAATCATTGTTTCTATGCCTATACAAAAAAAGTTTATAAAACATCAAGTTATACAATAAGTTGTAGACAATAATTATGCATTATTTTCTTATATTTTAATATTTATGCTGAACCCGTTCACCAGAAATCTACATTACCAGGTTTGCTTTATTAAACTAACTGTATAAATTATTACATAGTGTAGCTTAAGGATTGAAGCTGTTTTAGATGTTAGTAGATAAACCCTTGTTTTTGACAATATAAACCCAAAACCCTTGCATTAGAATGTAAGACTTTTAACTACAGGTCTACTTAAATTATATTAGAATTAAAAAAAATATATATTACAAAATTCATTCCACATCATATAAAATAATAGATTGCACTGATATGCGTTTTGTCTTTTTTTTGTTTTTGTTTTTCGTTTTACTTTTTTGAGGTAAGAAGAATTTTGATTGCACAATTGTTTGTTTGAAAAGCCACTTTGAAACTTTAGTTAATAAATTAGGTACATTGTGGTAAACCACTTTATCAACAAAAATGTATTGGGTGACTGATGTTTGGCAATGGAGCCAAAATTGCCAAACTTCTGACCCTGATTTCCGAATGTGATCTATTTTTTTAGTTCCTATGCATGTAATGCAATAGGAACTATTGGATTCACTTTTTTGCATGTGTGTGTAAACATTTATACAAATGCGCATGCGTCAAGAAAAAGTTTTATGACATTTTGTTTTTCATCACGACCTGAAGTTTCCTTTAGTGTTTCTGTCTGGGCATATGCTAACCGATCAACAAGTTGCCAACTCCAGACGTTTTTTTCTGTTGTTGTATAAGTAGTCTTGCTGCAAACGTCATTTCGTGCCTCGCAAGTTATTTTTTATTTGTAATTGTTATTTTAACGTGTTAGATGCAGGGCAGTGACTGTATAACATAGACTAATATTAAGGTACTGTATTTCCGACAGCCAGCTATGTAGCAGTGTACCCTTGGGTACATAACGACTTTCTAGCTTGGGTTTTTCCACTAAAACAAGGCCTGCGATGCGAGGGCCATAGTAGAACATCATTGATAGTTTAATCAATGATCTCGTGTTATCGTCTAATATGTAATATACATTTAAGTAATGCATGTAAAATTTAAGATTGCACTGGATGGGTCGCTTTGTTATATGGTATACGTAGCAGAGTGACAGCAGCAAGACTAGGCCTAGCCTATGACCTGAGCTAGATTGTGTACTTTCTTGTTCATCACGATGAAAACTTCGGGTGACAGACAATTGGGCCCGACTGGTGTGTACGATCGGGCCCAAGACATTTTTTAGCATATTGTAGTCTAGTAGGCCACTGCCAGCCTCCCCTTCCCCACCCCACGATATCGCTCCAAATTACTGTAAAATGAAAATGCTGTACACTTACTTAGGCCTACGAAATGTTAAAATTTTTTTTTTTTTAAAGTTTTTTTTATTCTACAAAATTTTTAAGTACCTTGTTGGTGTGCTAAAAAGAACATTGATGCCTGCAAGGCTCTGGTTTAACTTTATGCTTGCTCTGTACAGTACCAATTTTTACATAAAAAAATAAACTGGGTTTAAAGGATTCTTAAATTACATATATCTCTATGGTTTAATATTGATTTGGAGTGGAAACCATAGTGAATTCCACATCAAATGTTTTTATTATGCGTGTTGACAGATTGATGCATGAGATATCCATTTCTTTTGAATGATTAATGTTTGATTGATTTTAAAATAGGTACTGTAATAACAATAACTCTCTGTTTATGGGATGTAGTACGTTAATGATAACAGATCCGCCAACCATGTTATTGGGAACGTAAATCTATGTCAACAAACTGAGCATTTTATATTGTAACATTATAGCAAGTAATTTCATATCCATGAATACTCGGTATAATATAGTAACATAGCAGAAACATCCTTCTTCAATTCAGATACAAGTTGGTACTAGTGATACAAGTATTAGGGGAAGGAGTTGGGTGGTAGGTAGGTTGAGATATTTGGTCTATGGTATCACATAGCACATGTCCTTTCAAAACCCAACTCCAGCATGATTCCTGGCAGATTTTTGTAATTCAGCTTTGTCAAAAAGAGTTATAACAGCGTCTTCAAGAATAAGCAATCTTCAAATTGAGCGGTTATCAAATTGATTAGTCTTCAAATTGAGGGGTTTTTTAATTGAGCGATCTTCAAAGTGAGCAGTCTTGAATTGAGCTGTCTTTCAAAGGCTTTAACCTATTAAAGAAGTTGAAATATGAATGGATATTTTCTTATGCGTCTCGTTTTCTTATTCGGTAGAACGTTTGAATTGGTGGCTAAGTGTACTGCAGGTGCTTTGGCCAATGGCGACCTCAGGCGATGGCAACTGTCTGCTACATGCTGCCTCACTTGGTAAGTTGTATTCTACTTATTTTAATCTATTCTAGTACTGTATGTCAAGTAAGCTATGATAAAATAAATATCTGAAACAGACTAAGACAGAGGAACCAACTCCATCCCACCATTCATTTGCAGTTTGGGACCACGGACTAGCAGTGGATAGCAGTAGGAACCCTCAATAAACTATGTAACAAGAAAGAACAAGAATGAAATAGATTGACTAAACAAACGGAATTAACAAATGAAAAAACAAAAAAAAATTAAAAAGGAATACAACTGTAAAAGAACAATAAAATGAATGAATAAACAGAAAAAAAATTAAACAATATTTAAAATTTATACCGTATAATATTGAATAGGAATTGAATTAATAACAAAGGAAACAAAATAATTATTAGATAAAAAATGCACTTAGCCACCAAAAATATAACAATTTATAAAATTAATCTGAAAAATAAAAACATAATAAATAAAAGCAAATGAAGGATGAGATAAGAAAAAAATGGGGAAAAAAATGGTATAAAATGTTTATCCAACTTAGAGGGCTAACATGGTTATATTATTTTACTTCATACCATACTAGTTGACATTTTCTGTGATCCTTCTTCTCTTATGTCATTGTCTAGGTATGTGGGGCTTTCATGATCGCTTGTTAACATTGAGGAAGGCTTTGTACAAAGCTCTAACTGACAACCAGGATTCCAGGTTCATGAAGAAACTTAAACGCAGATGGAAATGGCAACAAATGCAAACGAATAAAGAGGTATATTGCATGATAATTTATATGAAAACACTATGAACTTGCAATAATTCAATTCCATATGTATTTGGCAACAATAAAAGTACATTGATTTTTTTTTGGCAATGTGAAAGGTAAAGTATCTCAATTGTACACATTTGAAAATGTCCTATAAAACTAGTCTTTAAAATACAGGTCTTCCCCCAATTCAAGACCACTTTTTAGCAGTTTTGGTCTCTAATTAGAAAAATAAAGATAAAAAAACATTAGTTAATATGGAACCACAGAAAAGTGATCTTAATTGGAGGTTGGTGGTCTTTAATTAGAGGGAGACCAGTATTAAAATTCTAAGTGTTTTGTATTGCAACCGTCGACCGACTAATCTAACTTGGCTCACTGTGAGCACTACGTGACACTGTCTGATGAATGTCGGTGGCAGTCTAAACGGGTCGTCATTAAAAACGATCAGTTGCACACGCGCGTGTCGTTGCATTGCATTCTCCATAGAATCATGTTGACCATCGGGTGCAGCGCAAGGCCTTATAATGAAAATTATAACTTTCTTGCTTTTTGTGTATTTAAGTAGAATGATGATGATATATAAATTATTTTCTACTTTAGTCTGGTTTGGTGTTCTCGGAGGAGGAGTGGGAAGAGGAATGGAGTCATCTGTTGAAGTTAGCATCAGCTAAGCCTCGAAACTCCAGCAAGGACTACACCCCACCGCCATCACGCTCAGTAGGTGGAGGGTAAGTGTGGCACAGTTAGTTGTGTTCATTAGTTATCTCCAGATCATTGTTTATACCTTGTATAGTGCATAATATTATGGGTGTATTTTGCTGTGCTTCAAATTTTCCTCTTTTCCAATCCCCTCGAAAACCACAAAGTAAGGCCAAAACGGTAGTACTGATTTTTTTTGCTTTTTGCTATTTATACTTTTATCAGTGCTTGTGACTATTATTACATCAACATTCCTTGTGTTATATCAAATATAGATTGTTGTTATAAATATATAAAGCATAAAGGTACCTCCTTAAAGGTAAGTCTCCTCCATCCAAAAGCATACATCCACACCTCCATTAAAAGTGTATAGTATACATGTTTTTCAACATAAATATTTTTTCACTGTAAATATTTAGTCATGTGGCTACTGATAAGAGGACTGTGATCTCCATGATTAAAAGCATAAATTTAAATATCCTTTATTAAAATCTTGAATTCAGATTTCCTCCGTCAAAAATATATAGCTATATCTTCTCTATCAAAAGAATAAATCCATGCCTCTTCTACTACTACAAAAATAAATCCATGGCCTCCTCCATCAAAAGAATAGTCAGGCCGCTTCTGCTACCTCCACAAGAATAAAACTACAGTCTCTGTCATCATAAGTCTAAAAGCATCGCATAAAACATCTATTAAAGGTACAGTAGGTCTCCTTAATCAGAAGTATAGATTTAAGCATGCTTCATCAAAAGCATAAAGCAGGGCCGTCCTCCAACAAAAACATAAAGCAGTGCCATCATCCATCAAAAGCATAAAGCAGGGCCGTCCTCCAACAAAAACATAAAGCAGGGCCATCCTCCAACAAAAACATAAAGCAGTGCCATCATCTATCAAAAGCATAAAGCAGGGCCATCCTCCAACAAAAACATAAAGCAGTGCCATCATCTATCAAAAGCATAAAGCAGGGCCATCCTCCAACAAAAACATAAAGCAGTGCCATCATCTATCAAAAGCATAAAGCAGGGCCATCCTCCATTAAAAGTACTGTATAAACAGGGCCATCCATCAAAAGCATAAAGCATCAAAATGCACATGTAGCAATGCCTGCTCCATCAAAAACATAATGAAATAGGCCATCCTTCATCAAAAAGACAATAAAGACAAGGCATCTTGCATCAAAAAGTATATAGCCATGCCTGTTCAACCAAAAGCATAAAGTAGTCTTTTCTCAATTATGATTAGGTAACAAGGTCTTCCCATCATAAGCATTGTACAGTAACATCTCCAAATTACAAACCTCCCATTTTCAAACTCCCGATTTTACAAACCTAATTTGCGGTGATAATGTCATTATGAACGATCGTTTTAAACTACAAAAACACTTTACAGGTAACTTTGCCTTCTGTAAAATATTATTTTGTTGCAGAAAGCAGTATAATCCAAGTCATATTTCATCACAAAATTTTGCTCCCATGGCAAGGTTGAGGCCTATCTAGCCCTGTACTTTGTACCATAGGTCTAGGGTACGTAATTGGAAGATGTTACTGTATTAGACTTCCTCAGTTTACTGCATAAAGTAAAGCATTCTTAATCAAAACACCAGGGGCGGATTGCTATAAGCGGTCTTTAGACAGTTTAGTTAACAGTTAGCTGGCTAAAATCATGACGTCACTACTGGTCTATGATTATAGACCATTGCTATACCGAGGTTTAACCAGTTAGCCGTCTTAAATTTTAAAGCTTACTCGGAGGAGGCTTAAAACGGTCTTAAATCATTTTAATCATAGCGTTCTGCTGATTAATTCAACAGTGCAATGGCAAGACTTAAGCCTAGATCGTCAGTTGGAGAATCGAACGACGAATATTCCACACACTTCTCAGCGTCTGTGAAAATACATTTGCGTGCGTCGAGCACGTATGATGTCGCCCCCAATCTTACGTTACAAGTGTTTACGGAAATTAATGAGACCATAGCAGAGATGTGTTAATCTGAATGAAGTGATGCATTTAATAGTCCCACTGTGAATGCAAGTGTGACACCAGGATATTCCCCAGATCACCCTTGTGTACTGTAGGAAACCAGTGTTCGAAATAAGGAAAAACTTAAACTTGTCCGGCGGACAACCTAGATGGAAACTTTGGTTGTATGCAAATGTTTTTACTTGTCCGTATATTATCTGTTGCTTGCTTCATTTTTACCTTGCACTGTTTTCCCTCCTAAGATCGTTCGACATGAAGAAAAGTTCGATAAAAAGTTTGAACGCCTTCCCACGCACGCCTCCATTCACCTTGATACATGAGTCAGGGCCTTGTTGTGCGGCCCGCCCATAGAGCTATTAAACAACTAGAGTGCTGACAAGATGGCGCAGCAATGCAGAGTTATGTATGTGTACCATCCAAGATGGCCGTCGTAGTAAAGCGCCACCTTCAGGCTTTGTATACATATTATTACTATAAATAAGCCCTCTGACTGACTATTATTTCATTATTGATAATGAGTAATGGTAATAACAAATTATTAAACTATTGTAGCCAAAATGAGGCCAAGTGGAGCATCTTATTTCAAATAAAGTACCAATGAATGAAAATTAAAATCGTGTACTTTACACCCAAACACCTCAACGCTCGAGTTTCAAACATACGGGTAACTAGCTGTACTGAACTTTCTGAGTAAATTGAGGGCGCAATTGCAAACGATGGTGCTTAGAAAAATTTAATCTAAAAAAATCTATGGCAGCCATTTTGGATGGTACACACAGTTCTGCGTATTTCGAACATCGAATACATTGCGGTTAGTGCTCTAGTATTCTTATTATATCTCTATGGGCCCGCCACAGTATAAGTAATATGCGAGAGGGCGCCTCAGTCTCAGACCAAAACGCGAGAAAACGTGATTCGGCGAATCCAAAATGGCCGTGCCCGTGACAACAATGCAGTAAAGTAAAAAAAACAAAAAAAAACGATTACTTGAGGTGAGGTTTGGGTCCAAAATTTTTTGGTTGTTCTACGGATAAGTTGCCCTATAGTTCTGGTTGTCCGTGGGACATTTTGGTTTGGCTGGGACAAGCGGACAAGCCTTATTTCGAACAATGGAAACATGTATGTCATAAGATTGGAACCCAGGACAATTATTCATCTCAATATCTCATGCTGAAATTATACTGTTAATCCTATAATAATGTGAATGGTTTGAAGAAAACTCATTATAACATTATTCTCTCCTCTTTTATAATACAGAGGTTTGACATCATTAGCTGAGGACGTTGAAGCATCAAAATTTGATGAAGACGAGGAGGAGGAGATATACGAAAGTCTAGAAGAATTCCATGTGTTTGTTCTTGCGCATGTTATAAAGCGACCAATCATTGTTGTGGCAGATACAGTACTCAGGAATGCAAGTGGAGAAGCATTTGCACCGATTCCATTTGGTGGAATCTACCTCCCCCTAGAATCTACAGAGTCTGAGTGTTGTCGATCACCGTTGGTCCTCACATATGATGCTGCTCATTTCTCTGCTTTGGTTCCAATGGAAATTGATAGGGAGGCTAATCATAGTGAAAGGAGACTTCAGGAAGCAAACTTACCAGGTTTGTATTCTATTCAGTGGCGTATCTAGGGGGTCCGCAGGGGGATGCATGCCCCTCCAATTATTACTCGCGCCCCCCCCCCCAAAAAAAATCACGGTCAAGTTGTTAAAAAGCACCTAAAATCACCTTATTTTGCGAGTTAGTTCCCCCTTAACTGATCATCAAGCGCCCCTCCCCCATCAGAACCCTCACTTCAAGACTTTAGATATGCCACTGATTCTATTTTTTTCATTATTTTTGCTGATCTGGTTTATCCTGCCTAAAGTATTTTACTGCTATTCATACTTGATTTATATGCAGTAGGATTTACCAAGATTTTATTTCACTGGGTGAACAACAAAAAAAAAAATAATGTATTTTCTGTAAATTGGCATTTTGAGCAAATCTAAACTTAACTACTTAATTGAATCATTGATTGCTCTGTAGGTTGCTGATAGATATGAAAAATATACAACCAGACATTTTATTATAAATATAAAAAATACATGTAAATCATTATCATCATTAGCCATTCATTCAGAACACTAATGGCCTTCATGTGCATCTGTAGTGTCATGGGGAATTTTTTCTTGTCTTTTTTTATAGTCTTTGGTAAACTTAAGTTTTCTTACTTATTCTTGCAGTTGCTGTTCCTGTAACAGACTGTGATCATCAGTTGTTACCAATACATTTTAGTATTGACCCTGGACCAAACTACCAATGGAATAAGGATGAGAACGCTAACAATTACCAATCTAAACGCTTATCCTTGTCTGATTCGGAAAAACTTGATATTCTACATCGATACCTCGATCTAATACGAGTACCGATTCCAGGAGTTGCAGGAAATCCGAGCTTAAATGGTGCCAGGGAAGATACCGATGGTAAATTACGAAGAACAACGTCTGACGAGAATTCAAATAACAGTGCTGAACAACCATTGTACGCTAAAGTAAAAAAAAATAGAGATAAAGATAAGAAGGGTTTAGGAAAACGGTTACGACATTTGAACTTGTTTGATATAAAAGCTAAAAAGAAATCAGGGCAGGAACCGTTGAACAGTGGCCAGCAGGTAGAAGCACGAGTAGATCAAATAATGGTTCCAGATCTTGATGATAAGACAATTATTGTAGCAGCAAAGTTGAATGATAAGCGTACTGATATGCAGCAATTAATGATACGTAATTATTTAAAGCGAGCACAAGAACTTTATTTAGAGGAGCATACCCGTAAGATGGAAGAGGATTTGATACAGAAACAAGAACGAGAACGTGCGAGAAATCAAGCACGTGAAAAACGTCCAGTGAATGGCACTGTTACACCTCCAATTGATAGGAGGCAAAATCGAGGCCCTGTTGTTCCCGCGCAAAATGCGGTGATGAAGAGCCAGCAGAATCCGATCATGAGAGGTGGATATAACAGATATTCAAAGGTAGATAAATACCTGGCAGCCTTGAGCACGACCAGTGCTTACAATGACAGACTACCAAGAACACACAATCGCCCAAATTTTGATCGGCCAATTCCAGCTCGAAATCCAGCGCGCTATCGTTATGACGGAAGATCAAACCCACATCCACCGCCACATTTTAACAAACACAGTGGTCAAGACGATCTAAATCCACGAGTGTTTGATCAAGTACAGTTCAAAGGTCAGCACGCCGCTCCCACTCAAAGAAACTATGATAAGCTAACCAGCAGCACCGATCGGCTGCGTAGTAATCCAGGGTACAAAAGTGTTACGTCAGGTACGCTAGGATACCAGGAGTGCAGGACGCCAGGTTGTGTTTTCTGTGGACAAGAAGAACAAGATTTTCTTTGTTCACAGTGTTTCAGGAAAAGGAGGATGATGGATAGATAACACACTTATATCGATTTCCTTTTCGACTTGTTGCTTAATTTGCGTACAGCTGTCTTAAATAGGCTCTGATTCATTGTATGGTAAAAATGTGAAGTGGACTATCGTGCCTTGAAAATCTAACACTTTGATTGCCTGTGCTTAAAAACTCTATTTATAAACTACTATAGTTCTTTATTTTGAATTTTCACAATTGACATTCTCAACTACCAACCTTCGAACTATCAACCTTTGAACAGATTATCAATAGTACTGCTGCTTTTGTCTTTCCCCCGCATACTATACAAACAAATAAGAATTGCACATTTTCTTTCCATAAGTGGCAAGTCACTCACTGTTAAATGAGAATTAACTAAACTGTTAAGCTTGGTTTCCATACAATCGCTACAACATTCGCCGACAGCTTTTCTATTAAGAACTGTGAATATGCTATATAATAGTTTGGAACTCTAAATTTGGCTAGTACTGTATATGGCAAATGTGTTGCCTTCCAAAGTCGGTGTCCTGGGTTCAAATCCCACAGAATCTGCTAACACTGAGTAAAAACCTTAAGATGTTATTCTGAATATACTATCTGTTTGGAAAGAGATAACATCATTGATGTTTTATAATTATATGATAATAGTTATCAATATATGATTGATTATTTCAAGATTACTATAATATTTTTTCACATTTAAGTATAGGTAATGTTGCTTTATTCTGGTATTACAATTTAGTGTATAATTAATGATGCATATTTTTAATAATCACTTAAGCTTAGGTTGTATATACTTCATTTGACCTTGATAAATGTACACTTGACATCAATTACAATCTATCAAAATAAATCTATCTTATTTTTTTATTTCTAAAATTGTTCCCAGCTATATTGAATGTTCATATAATTAAACAAGCAATAAACAAATGAATAAAAATGTAATTTATGCATATTTTGATATTTGTAATCTATATAATGGAAAATGATTTTAAAAAATATTGTTAAAAGCCTTTAATAGAAATAGTATCTTAAATAATTTTACTTTATGTATAAAAATAGAAATAAGTTAAAAAAATTAATAAAATTGTTGTACATTTCTTATTACCACCATGCCTTGAGAGAGAAGTGATATCCTTGATTTTGAAGGGCCTTGTCAACACTGAGGAATTTTTAAGGGTTAATTTTTCCTCACTTAATCATCAAAGGGTATGTGGGGGGAGGGCATATGAATAAGTACTGTATATGAATTTATAAACTAAGAAATTTAACACTTATGTGATGTTTATGTAATCATTAGAGGTAAAAAATCATACATCCATGGTTGAATAATAATACCAATTTGTCATAATTTTTTTTTAGAGATATTGAAATTAGATTAAATATTTTTTAGTATTAATTTGAGCATTAATTTCCAAAGAGTGAGTTAAGAACAAAGGCTATTAACAACATGCTATCATATAACTTTGGATAGTGATGTAGCCTAAGAGGGGCTTGGCTGCACAGGAAACATCAACGCTTCTGACTACATTTTCCAATTTTCAGACAGAAGACACATGCCCCTCCCTGTTTTTTTTAATGTAGACCCACCGTGTCCCATCTGCATTGGAAGAAAACGTCTCATTGCTGTAGGAAATAATATGAGGCTTGCCTTCCTAAAACCACCATCAGTGATCAATAAAATGAAAATTGCCTTTTTAATATACTCTTATTCTCCACATTATGAGCTTTAAAATGTCATTTACTGGAATCGACTTACTAACTGCCAAAGTTATGAGTAAAAGTATTATGGCTTCTCTGTACTCGTATACAATAATGCCACTTTTTTTTTTATGTTAATTACTCAGTTTAATAATTAGTGACAGTATGCTGGTGTTTGGATGGCAAGCCTAATATGTTTTATCTATTTCCAGAACAAAATTTATTGAATTAGGATATGATAACAAAGTATATTCTTTATTTGTCTTCAAGACTAATTCATGATTGGAGAGATATATTAATCATGAGAGGATGTAGGTGTCCCAACTATCCATTTTGAGAACCCAGCAAGGCTGTATCCAACTCACTGAGTCCAAGACAAAGGGAAAATTTGAACAAGAACTGTTGGAAATCAATGGCATTTTAATTTAATCTGTACAAAGACAAATTACCGGTAATAGTTTGTGGTCAATTGAAAAATATAACATTACAGGTACATAGTAATGTGTATAGCTGTCAGCATGTCGGAGAAATGCTGTTTTCTCAAAATAGAGTATAAACTAAAAACAACCTTGTTAAAACTGTACATTGTAAATTGTGTTACATCCTCACCTCACATATTTTTTTGTTACATAAGGCCATAAATTATGTTAAATAATATTTTATATATTGATACTGCAAGCACATTTAGTACAGTACTCATGTGCTGTTTTTTTGTGGTGTAGTTGTGTTCTGTTATATTCTTCAAAACTAACTTAAACTTTGCTATAAATTGTGCTAAGTTTGTAATCTCCAAAGATGCATCATCTTTCTCGCACAATGTACATCCTTCATGTAAAGACCTGTCTACACTAACAAATTTTCTTTGATAAAAAAACTGTTGAATGCCAATATAGATTCATGATGTGCCTATTTATGGTCATAATGTGAGGTCGTCATGACCATATTTAGGAATGTCACATGTACTGTAACTCACACATAAAGTGAATGCTTTTTTGTGTGTATCTGATAAATGACTGTTGCATAATGGTTTCAATGCTTATTGTCAATGAAATGCTATTATATTATTTTTTTTAAGTTAATCACTAATAATATTGATCATTTAATACATATGTACTGTTCTATATTTTCAATTACAAATGAAATGAAGAATAAACATGATAGCAGTTCAACTCAATGTTTCAAACAACAAGCTGAAATGTTTAAAAGTTCAGATGAGTGGTAGTAAATTGTTATTTTTCTTTTTAGTGTTATCAAGTTCTATTTTGATTTGCACTAGAACAAAAATTGTGGCCAAATTATTAAGAAAATTATCTTCATCTACTGCCTTTATGTTATTTTAACTTGTATATAAAAAGTTGATTTTTAGCGCCTTGAGCACTACTGCAGTGGATATGTGCGCTTTATAAATGTTATTATTATTGATATTACCATAGATATTATATATAACTGAAAGTATCAGTGGTCTTACCCTGTATGTTAATATACTTCTTAAAATTAATAAATTATTTTTCTGTTTGTAAATGTTATGTTTGTTTATAATTGAGATTCTTTCTGACAATATAAAAAAAAAATACTGCCAACTCCAGTGCATTTATTCCTAAATACAACATTATTTACTTATCGGAAAAAATATGGATATTTCTTTTTCAGACGTCGAAGCAAACTTATGGCCAAGATGAACTTGAGTGTTCTCAGTTTGGCCTAGCTAGAAAAATAAAATCAGTTCTAAAAATATAACAAGTTATTTGTTTGAAACTGATGAGATGAGAGAGCATTGTATTGTTTTAGAAGTCAGTCTATAGGCCTAATATGTTTAAAATGATACTGTATTTAGATTTGTTAAGTAAGAATAACTAGGGCTAGCCCTAGCCTAGTTTAGAAGAATATAGTCTGAGTAAAGTGAACAGATAACCTTATTATGTGCTAACTAAGTAAGTACAACTTACAAGAAGGTGTACGGTCTGCTTTATTGTAACAACGAACGCACAGACCTAAAATAGGAGCGGTTCGCAATCATCTACCAGCAGAGAGCAGTCTAGCCTTAGTAGTAGTAGTATAAATAGCAGGCTAGAGTCGGGGCCTAGGCAAGATAACCGTACCCGTAGGACCATACTAGCTAGGCCTAGCTAGAGGCCTAGGGCCTCGGCCTAGTACCTGTCTCTTATACACATCTAGATGTGTATAAGAGACAGGTTACAGGATTTGAAACCAGAACCCTCAAATTGGAAGGCAAATATCTTAACCACAGTCTTTAATACCATCTGTAGCTCAATAATTTTGAATTGAATTAAAAGATCAAAAACATCACCACCATTCTAGTCAACTGTCATCCTTTTCATCATCACTTCATTTCTGTATTCTACTTCATCCATAGAATTCATCACTAGTTGTTAATTATTAAACCTTACTTCCAGCAGGGCCCAATCTCTTAAACTTGCCAAGCCACGGCAATGCATTGTCTCCGGGTTCAAACAACGACATCATCAAAGTTGAACGCTTCTTATTATCTGCCCAAGAATACAACATTCCATACCAATCTTCACTGTGGAAATTAAAATATCAACCAATCAATCATAAACCTTCATATAGTTATTTTTTAAATATATTTATTCTTTATGTAATTCTCTTCCAACAGCGACATGTCACGGGATGGAATGAATTTTTACTACTATTATTAAAGTGTAGTAATATGATTTATTAATATCAACTTACCTGACTTGGACAAGAGCAACCATGTTTTCTACTTTAAGACTCCCGTGCAACAAGACACAAAATGAGGGCGTTTTTCCATCATCAGAACTGTTCACATCATCAGCGTCAATAGCCAAACTTGTGACCTTACTGAACTCTGATGGGTAAAAAATTATGGACTGTATAAAGCATATTATACAGTAATAACCATTTAGCTTTCAGTTCAAAATTGTTTTCCTTCTCTATTAACAGACACATTAAAATACCATAATTACTCTTTGTATACACCCATAATTTTACCTTGCTTTGGTACTGGTAACACCAGGTGCCGGGAAATTGACGGTGGACTTGAAATATCTGCTGAGTCTAGGAACCCACATATATGAAGCGAATCTAACACCGTCTTCTTTATGGTGGCATGATCAACGACAACTTCCACAGACTCTGGGGCAGGATGAAGTTTTACATACGACAACAAATTCCCACAGTGCAACTTGGCATAATGAGGCACATAGCTAGATGTAGCCATCTTTGTGAACGTCTGTTGAATATTGCTCGTGCTTAAAGGTGCATCTGCTACGTATACCTCACCGTTTTTGTTAATATCTACAAGCTTTTGGAACATTGTGAGGGAGTTCTTATGTTGAAGTTCAGCAAGGCTTGCGATCAGAACAATGTTCAGTTTTGCCGGGAAATTGTACGGTAGTGGAAATGATCGGTTATCTGATTTGGAGTAGTTATGTAAAGAATGTTTTAAAGAGCCTTGACTCACACCAACATTGCCATCTGTTATTAGTATTACCTACAAAAAAAAAATGTATCTTCAGATTAATAATAGTTTAAAGATCAAAATATTGTCAATAATTTTCAAAACCCCACCCATCGTCTTATTTATTGCTTTCTATTTGCCTACAGTATATTGCAAGTTTTACCTTAGTTTTAATGAAAGTAACTAACTAGTAATGAATGTAAAAACTCAATAAATGACCCATTAACAGGTATAACTGTTACGATGTTCTTCATTTTCATGTACCAAAAATGAATTGAAGTGAAACTTGTTCAGGCATTTGTCAGGAAAAGGATTTTGGTGGGAATTTTATCTGGACCTGGTATCTTGTTCTTCTGAAGGAGTTCGTGTCTTGAATGTAGGAAGTGATTGCTTTGATGCCGAAATGTTATACATAATTTGAATACTACTTGAATGTTATTTGTTAGGTTCATTAGTATGAGATTCTTTCTGTCTTTAGTGATTGAGTTACATAATTTCATTAGAGTATATTTTAACAGATTTCATGGGGGAAATAGAGTTCAATAACACCATTAACAACATGATTTCAATTATCTACCTTATCCTAAAGCATAATCTGTATTTAAAACTACATTCCAATTCTAGCTAGTTGCATTCAAACTCATAAAACGGAGTAATTTACTACTTACCTGACAGGCAGCGTTAGCTCCCCACTCATCCAATATCATGTCTCGAACTCCTGCAAGGGCCAACTCAACACAGGTCTTATCATAATCTTCAATCTTACTCAAAGCGGCCTGCAATTATTTAACATCTTGAATTAGTCATTTTATAATACTGCAGTGCTACATAAAATTTGAGTGGAAAATGACATCTACATAATTATTTAAATTTAAAGGAAATTCATTGCTTTAAGAATATAATCTTTTGGATGTATTTTGTCTGTTTGTGTTTCATGCGGAACACCATGCAATCTGATTATTTTGTATTATCTTTTGTTGAGGATTTGGATTAAGCACTTCTATTGATGGACGTTTTAAAAATTTTGTTATTCTCGACTTCATCTATTCAACTTCATCTTTCTTGTTTATATAATATGTATATTTTCCTTGTCAAAAAACCCCAAATTATACCTACTTTGATTTCGTTCAGATATTATTTTCACTTTTTTTGTTCATTTTATCTTTTAATAACAGAAGTAGGATATTTTCTTTATACCTCTTTTGGGTTTATCCTAATTTTATCGCTTGTTTTCCTGTTATAGTTAGTTCTAATTATTGAGTCCATTTTTGTAGTGTGGTAAATAGTGATTAAATTTATTAAGCCAATTTGTAGATTTAACTGTGCATACCCGTATCAAAGTCAGTCAACATAAACAAACATACACACAAGTTTTATGTTGACTGACCTTGGATACGGGCATGTGCAGTTCAAACTACAAATTGGTTAGTAATCAGTGTATATGTTAGACAGGAACTGCTAAGTGCCAAACGCACTCATGTGGGCAAAGTACAATAGGAATTGAAACCCTTGACCTTAACATTAACAGACCAACTCACAACTTTTTAAACATGCCTATACAGTACCATCTCAAAAATGTGATATCTAAATTTTTGACAAAAACATTGTTAGGCAACAGATATTCACCTCAATTTCTTCATAGTTTCTTGTAAAAGGAACAACAACTTCATACAATGATGAAAAGATGACTAAAGACACAAACTCAAGACGTTGGTGTTTGGCTATGTACTCCATCAGTGTTGAAATTCCACGATGAGCTAGCTCACGTCGCGACAGTGTTTCTCCAGCAGCATCGTTTACTGGTCGTGTCATTGACAGAGACACATCAAGAAGAATTACTGTAGGCATCTTGGAAACCTATGAAAGAACTAGGATTCTTGGATGGTTTTATACAGTAGAATATTACGAGTACAATTGCAATGAAGACAAACTAATGGAAGCAAAAATAAATTACTGCAGAGCCATGCAAAAAGAGCATTTTTAATTAATATAATATAATATAATTATATAATATAATTAATTTCAGAATTTGGAACTTCATTGTAAAGCCTGGTTAAAATCACTACACTGTCGATACAATATTTTCAGTGCAATCGTACTGTGTAGCAGTCCCTGAAAATCAGGAAGGCTCCTCGATTTAACAGAACAATCAGCATCACCGAAAGCTGTCGGCGATAGACAACGTGTAACGATTATATAGAAACCAAGCTTAACTGGTGGAAAAAATATGGATATTTCTTTTTCAGACGTCGAAGCAAACTTATGGCCAAGATGAACTTGAGTGTTCTCAGTTTGGCCTAGCTAGAAAAATAAAATCAGTTCTAAAAATATAACAAGTTATTTGTTTGAAACTGATGAGATGAGAGAGCATTGTATTGTTTTAGAAGTCAGTCTATAGGCCTAATATGTTTAAAATGATACTGTATTTAGATTTGTTAAGTAAGAATAACTAGGGCTAGCCCTAGCCTAGTTTAGAAGAATATAGTCTGAGTAAAGTGAACAGATAACCTTATTATGTGCTAACTAAGTAAGTACAACTTACAAGAAGGTGTACGGTCTGCTTTATTGTAACAACGAACGCACAGACCTAAAATAGGAGCGGTTCGCAATCATCTACCAGCAGAGAGCAGTCTGGCCTTAGTAGTAGTAGTATAAATAGCAGGCTAGAGTCGGGGCCTAGGCAAGATAACCGTACCCGTAGGCCCATACTAGCTAGGCCTAGCTAGAGGCCTAGGGCCTCGGCCTAGTACAGCAGTAGTAGTAGTAGTAGTAGTAGGGCTTGCTTAGCCTAGGCCTAGCCTAGGTGCATACATAATATAACAACCCTAACCCTGCCTCGGCCTAAACTTACTTCAACAATAATGATTGGCACAACAAATCAGTAGTCAAAGACTAAAGAATATAGTTTTAAGAAGTTCATTTTAAAGAATCAAAACAATCAATCATGTTTATTTATCCCCACACCGTAACCGGCCGCCGATCGTCGATCCCGCCCTCTATTGTTTTTTAAGGGATCGCGGAAATCTCTGACACACAGCAGGTCCATCATACGTCGACGTGTGAAACCGTGAAACACAGAAAACTCGTTGCGAGGAACGCTTCGTGATATTGTCATCGATCTGATCTCAGAAAGTTGTTGTTACGCGAAACCAAGCGACAGGTTGTTGCTGTTTAATGATTGCTCTTTTATTCTCACCAAAATCCAAAGCTGACCAAAAATATTCATGACCTAAAACTAAAGCCTAGGACTTGTACATATTTCAGTTTTGGTAAGTAAATCATTTACTGTGTGTGTGTGTGTGTCTGTTTATGTTGACGTGAGGAGAGAGGTTGACGATTCATGCATGTCATGATGGCTGTGATTAGTTAGTCTGGCTGGTAATGGTTCATCAATCAATCGATAACTATTGTTTAAAATCGATTTCTGGATGTAACTTACATATTTTGTATTTGTGGGTGGATAGGCTAGATCGCTTAAATTCATACTAATTTGCTGTGAATGGGCAGAATAAAACATCGTCTGCAGATCGAAGGTAAGCAAACATGGCCTGCTGAATTGATACAGTAAAGTAAAGCGTCAACTCTTCCTGGTCTGGATCACTCTCCAATACAAAATTCTATCCCTTGTCTTTTGAGATTATTGACTGATTCAGCTAATCATAAATTTTGAACTATGCAGGAATAGTCCTGCATGTCCAGTGGCGTAATGACGAGCCATGTGTGGCCTGGGGAGAAAATGTGTTGGAGATCATGAATTTCAGTAAAGTTTTGCTAAGGCCCCAAAAAAAAAGTTTGTCACCCCTTCCCTCATTACTTTTGTTTTGGGGAAATTCTGATTTTTTTTTTTAAGCAACATATTTGTATTTCAAATGGTTGTTTTTCCACTAAGATTTCTTGCAAATATGTTTATATTACAACAAAAACGTATTTTATTTACTTGAGAACATCGGTAAAATGGGGGCAAGGTTAGCAAAAAAAAATAAAAATAAAACCTCCCTCCCTCCCTCTTCAGTTTTTATTCTTTTGATAGGGTGATAAACTAAAAATTTTTTTTATGGGGCCTAACCTATTATTATTAATACTGCAAAGACTGCATTAAAAGCAGTGTCAGTATTGTTTAGAGTACTACAGTGTTATGTCATGATACCACATGATACTACTCCGTTGCTATCGTTGCAAAAAGCGTTCAACCAGGCACCATTTTCTCCACTGACAAACCACTGATCCCATTTTCTAACGTAATTAATAAGATGTTGTTTCTTACTTTTTCTTTGTAAATTTTAATTGATGATTAAATAGGTGTTCGATAACTAATATAATGCAAGCTTTTGTGTTTTTAGTACATTTTGATGGTAAAATATTAGATTTCAAAATGCCTATTCCAGAAAGCCTATGAAGTCATTTAGGCGTAATGGACGGTAACCAATGTCTGTTGACAACAGACAGCGCAACTTGGCATATCATGACAACACGACTGTGGTACTCTATTGTGTGACTATATAAACCATAGAATCAACTTTTATTTTTAGACACTCCAGGGCCCCTTTGGACTAGGGGAACCATAAGTGTTACCCACTGTGCATGTCCATGCAAGCTCTCTGTTACATTTTTAGAATGGAATTATATTAATAAACGGATAAATAACAGTGAGGAAGTTGTGTACGAATGGTGGAGACCTCTGCGAGTTATCTGAAAGTGCATCGAGTGATGATTGAAACTGTTTATGTTTAACATATAATTTTTTGGCATCAATTTGGCATCTAAAATTGAACACATGGGAATTTGTATATGATAAATTGATTCAAAGAATATCAACTTTACGTACTAAATATCTTTATTTAACACTATGTTTTGATGCAGTGTTCATACATATGTAGAGATGAAATAATCAACTTTACGCACTAGTAGATATCTTGAATGTTTTTTCAGTAACCCATTGTTTGATTTAAAGCAATGTTCGTATTGTACTTGAGAGGCAAATGACAGAGACTAATGATATATAATAGATGATAGATACTGTGTGCTAGTTGCTTGGTAACACAATTTCAAATATCTTAAACTTATCCCTCAAGCATAAAAGAAAGTAATGTTATCGCAAATAAATGCTCTGCGTGTATTACTCGGTATTCAGGCAAGGGTGGAGGAGTGCTTACATTCTAGTACGGTATTGTTAAATTAATTTTGTTTTGCAGACCACTTCGGTCCCGAAGTAGTCTTTAATTGGAGGAGACCTGAATGTAACTTGCATGTAATTCAAATCCTAACTGTGAAAATGAGGATATCAACAAATTATGAGTTATGATTTTGTAAAATTTTAATGAAAGTACTCTAGGGTCTTGTCTTGCCTGCTGATGCGGGAAAGCCATTTTATACTGCAGATAAACTTTTCTAAGAACTATAGAGCTAAACAACTAGTACAGAATTAGGAATACCAGAAAATTTATTTTGCAAGCTAGGGACCTTCACTTAATCATAAAGCTCTCTCACTTCACATTCGTTCCCTATCATATTCCCCCCTCCCCTCCCATCATTTCAATACTCTTAGGAATACATCTGGTTGAGTGTTGTTGTTGTAGTAGTGCTCATTTATATTTATATTGTTAACCTGAATTCTACTAAATACTGTACGGTATGCTTGAATTAAGTACAGAGATCAAAATTTATTAGAACCATAAAATTATTTTCTAGTGCAATATTTCTTAGTCACTTAAAACACTGGTTAATCCTGAACAGGTGAGTGACAAAGGCAGAATACTCAGAGCAGCAACAACAGTAGGCCCACCATAGTGCATCAACCACACAAGAATGTCTGTGTTCGTCTCCATCATTGGTTCACTAACACTTAGTCGTATAGTTTTTTTACAGCAATACAGAATTGAGTATAAAAAGCCATTTAAATGTCACTCCTCCTGTATCTGGTATTAGCATTTGATTTGGCTCGATATGTAGTATTCAATTTTGAGTTTATTCCGTACATCAGTTACAGTAATGCTTCTGGTTTTTAGTATAAGTTTTGCCAGTTACAGTAATTATTGGCATCCTGGGCATTTGCAAAGCATCCTGGTGCTAAGTAATTGAGGTAAATTGAGTTTAGTCACAGTCTGGTTGAATCAATAAACCATGCAAGATTTTAGTGTGCATGTTTAATTGACTTTCAGTAACTTTAGCTTTCAAGCACACCCATGCTCTTTGTGTGTATATTTTATTTTATATTTTGTTATGTTCCCATTCAGTATTTTCTAGCATGTCAGTGCAGTTGTCACCTGAATCTGCTGTCGTGTTCTTCAAACCGTTTCTTCATTTTTGTTTGATTGTGAGTAGAGGTCTGGCCACTTGCTGCTGCCCATTCATTTCTTCATTTTAATTTGAGCTTCCTTTTATCACAGTATCTCAGTATCTCAGTGACTAGCTTTGCTAGCCCTTGTACTTGATAAACACGTGAAACAACGAAATGGAATACATTCATTCATCTTTTACAGAATTTCATATCACAAACTATAGGAAAAGTAGTACAATTTACTGTACCTAAAATAGCATTTCTAGCTTCACAACACTTTAAAGTAATAAAAATTATATTTATATTTAATATATTTGACGCAAACGTCTGTCGACCAGCAGTGTTACCAGAGAATGATATGTGCAGTGCTAGAGCCTGTCACAAGATGTCCCTAAGCAAATATCTTAAGCTGTTTTATCAAACCATCTTAGCAAAATCTTGAAAGTTTAAATATCGTCTTAGATTGCGCATGCCATCGACTTTTTAATTTTAAGCAATTTTTAAGCTAAGCAATATTGATAAGCAAAAAAATGTACTTAGATGAATTTAAGCTGATTTCTATTTTGATAAATCATGCCTTGTATCCCAAGTCAGCTGGTTAATAAAATACATTTTTTTTTTTATTATAAGAACCAGTACAATTTTGCTGAGGCTCAGTATTATTATTTTTTGCCCATTTCAGGCTCAAAATGTTCTGATTTTGATCTTATTGTACACACTTTTCAAATATAGAAAATTATTATTGTATTACAGTACAGGTAATTGTATTAATTATTGAGGGTAATACATAGTAACACCTACTGCACATAAGGTACAGATCAGATATGTTGGTTATTCTATTTGAAAAAAAAAAAACCTCTTGACATTTTTATCTCAGCCTCAATTTGTTCTTTTTAAAGCAATTTTAGCCTGGCTTTTCCTATAAAATGTGTTATAAAAAAGTGTATTTAAATACAGTTTGTTAAAATGTACATTCAGTTATGTCATGTTATTGCCTATGTATTAACATGTCTATAGGTGTGAACTTTGAACTTAATGTTAAAACCATCTTCGTTTACTTTTCACTAGATTATAAAAGGATATGCACATTTTTTCTATCTTATCTGCAATTTTAAATCAATTTTATTGCATGTTGAGGCTAATGTATTTGCCATGACATCCCCCGAGATATTGCCGCTGATTGCAACATTCAAAATAATTGATAACCATGAAAACTTACTAAGAATCTACAGTGTTATTTAAAGCAAAGTGCTTCAAGACACAGCAGGCTTGGCTTTAATGAGTTTCTAAAACACATCATGTCAAACTACACTATTTAGTAATTAGACTAATTACCCATACCGCACAAATCGAGAAAAATGCATTTTTGGTTTCAAACAGACACAAACTTTCAGTGGGTTATCACTGACACACGTGCGGTGTTGCAATCGTTGTAATCGGCTAGATAACCTGTCTCTTATACACATCTAGATGTGTATAAGAGACAGGATTTTAATTTGATTTGATTATTAAGATGATGTTGATTTTGAGTGCCTTACCTAAATTAGATTAAAAGTAGGTGCTACTGTACAAGGGCAATCAGATCATCTTGTGAATGCTCACAAGGAAACCTGATCCCACTTTGTAAATATCTTTTTACATACTGTACTGAATGCAATTCATAAACATCAGTTGAGATGAGACCGTAAACAACCTTTATAATTATGATCCTCTGAAATTTGAAGGAGTGATGGAAAGTAGAGCAAACCACTACAGTCCAATTCAGTTTTATGAAATACTTGGGCCATTTGGCCTATATGTCACAAGGAATACCACAATGAATTAACATATTTATTCAAGTTAACATCCCGGGCATTTATTGTCGAAAGGGTTTTTGAGGGAGGCGTTTATTCAAGGAGGACATTTATTCAAGGGGCACGTTTATTTGAGGGAGGCGTTTATTTTTTTTTGTGTAAAATGGATACTATCTGTCTCTTATACACATCTAGATGTGTATAAGAGACAGATTCTATTCTATGTTACAGTTTAGGTTTTGTCATCAGAAGGGTAATGTATTTCTCTGACCTTAGAGTATTTGATTTCTTTGCAGAGTGTTCTACTGATTATCAAATATTTTGCCATGCTACCATGGTTACACTCTTAATATATTTTCAATAAGCACGTTGAAAAGAAATGATTCACAATCATCAGATATAATCAACTATAAATTTTATTCTTTTTTCCAAAATCGTCTTTACCACCATCACAAATTTATTA